CCTGTTCATGGAGTATGACGAACAGGGGAGGGCATCTCTGAGCCAGATTAAGACCCCGGAGGAGGAAGAGAACCCGCAGTTGTCGGAGGTGACTCAGGCCCAGAAGGAGACCGGTGAACTCTTGTGGGTGGCGGGGAGAACGAGACCAGATGTCTGCCTCGCAGTGAACATCATGTGCCAGTGGGCCACGAAAAGACCGAAGGCGGTGATGGCCATCGGAAAGCAGGTGAGGGCCTATCTCCGGCAGACCAGGGGGGAGGCATTGTGCATTTCCGGCACGGGCGACACTGAAGAGGAGATGGGGAATGGGTTGAGCCGAGTCGAAGTGTACTCAGATGCCTCGTATGCGTCATCGGACATGAAGAGTCTGACGGGCATCGTGGTCTGTGTGGGAGGCACGCCGATTGCTTGGCATACGACACGGCAAGCGTTCATCACCCTGTCGACGGCGGAGGCTGAACTGATGTCGCTGCTGGAGAGTCTGATCTGTGGAAGGTCAGCGGGATCGTTGATGGAGGCAGTCCTTGGTGAGAAGGCCCAGGTCAAACTGCACTCCGATTCGACAGCAGCCATCGCCATTGCAGCTGGAACTACATCGTCGTGGAGAACGAGACACTTGAGGATCAGGGCAGCAGGTTTGACCGAGGCTTTGAGATTGAAGGAAGTGTCTCTAGAACACGTGGCTGGGACAGAGCTGGTGGCGGACGGCATGACGAAGCAGCTGACCGGACAACCTCTCCTGAACTTCAAGAAGGCATTGAGGCTGAGAGAGAGAGTGATGATGGGGCGAAGAACATCGAAGTGAAGAAGATGGACATAAGTGGGAGTCCACCTGACCCGAGATTCCTGAAGGTGATCGGACTAATGATCGTGGTAGCAAGCATGGTCACCAGGGCCGAAGCATCCGAGACGGTCAAGGAATTGCCATCTTGGGCGACATCCTCTTCAGGGTCGGGGCAGCGGGAGTACAGAGGTGGTTCAAGCAGGAGGAGCTGAAGGTGAAATTATTGTCGCCAGACGCCATCCTTCCGACTAGAGGATCAGAGCAGGCCGCTGGGTTGGACCTCTACTCCACCATCGAGACCATGGTACAGCCGGGAGACAGCGTGCTGATCAAGACCGGGATCGCGTTGGAACTTCCGAGGGGTAGCTATGGACGAGTGGCACCGCGGTCGTCGTTGGCAATTCGAGGCATTGAGACTGGGGCTGGAGTGATCGACAGGGACTTCAGGGGGGAAGTCAAAGTGCTGTTGAGAAACCACTCTGATGTGGACCTACGGATCTACAAAGGAGATCGCGTCGCCCAGCTGGTCATCGAGAAGATCCTGGAGTTGGAGGTGAACTGTGTGGAGGAGTTGACCACGACTGCACGAGGGTCGCGGGGATTCGGCTACTCAGCCCACGAAGAACTTTACCCGTGGGCAGAGCCAGACGACCCATCCTACCAGCACCAGGAGATGGGAACCCGAAACCCGGTGAACAGGATCTCGGTGAGAGCGATGAGGGTCGACTCGAGGCCAGAAGAGTCACGGAGGACATCCACTGGGCAGCCATCGGAGTCACAGGAGATGGATGTTCCAGAGGAACCACCTGCTGTCCGACCTGAACCAGCTGGACGACGTCAAGTACCCGATCCAGATGTATGGCATCGTGGGGAATACAACTATGAGGCAGAGCGAAACAGGAGGGCTCAACTGGGGTTGAGACCGACAGCCTGGGACCGCATGATGCAGCGAAGGGGCCCGAGAAGGAATTTTGGTGGAACCTGGGTCAGGGTGGACTCGGAGGGCAACCACATCGTCTACAGCGAGCCTGGAATGGAGCGAAGGGTGCAGGCTGCTTCCTCGAGTCAACCACAAGGTGACGGAGAAGGGGGCGGAGACGGGCAAGGAGCTGCAGATCGACAGCCAGAGCTGATGGAGTCAACACCAGGAATTGGTCCTTCGATTGATGGCCCTCTGCGGTTGGTCACCCACGTCGGCTACGGCATCACGATGGGTAGGTGGGAGGTGAAGAATGAGGAGGTGCTGGACTTTTTGAGGGACATGAACTTCCAGCCGGGCTTTTTGACGGAGAAGCTTCGTCGAAGAGTGGGGATCCCGCCGAGGAGGACCTCAGCCAAGGACGATTGGCTTTTGTTGGAGGACCATCAACATGGCAAGAAGATCACGGTGAGGGAGCACATGCAAGATCGAAAGAAGATGTACGACTTTGAGACCACCAGGCTTTGGGACTTGGATGAGTGGAGCCCGTGGCGAATGACGATCGCGTGGCAGGTGGTCGGAAGCACGCTCGGGAAGACAAAGTTGATCGTGGTCGACCAGCGATCGGGCCGGAAGGGCTGCTACCTGCCGTTCAGCTGGGTGGGCTACACGCTCTTTAAGACCGGCTAGAAGTGAGGAAGGGGGCTTGAGCATACCTCCGAAGAGGAGGATGGCTTTTTGTCAATTTGTGACCCTGTGTTCGGCCATGTCGGCCAAAGGGGGAGTGTGGGTGCACAAATCGAAGTGTACCAAGTTTCGAAGGCCTTATGGCTATGATCGCACCGAAGCCCTTTTAAGCACAAAAAGAGCGCATAGCGCTTCCGTACATTTAACGACCCTCACCCCACACGGTCTCACACTATTTTCAGTTTCATGGATCCTCTCCATCATTTTCTCATCTGAACTCAAACATCAAACCTCGTAAACAGGTACAAGCCGACGCTCTATAAAATGGGAGGGCCTGACCCCACACACTAATGTAGACTGCAGGTATTGTTTTGACCTGCAGCCACTACATCGCTGCTACCGGGACATACCGGGACTACTGCAGCATTAGATACTACTGTACTACTGCATATGTTAGCATGAAACTACTGGTATCTACTAGTCTCAGCTACAAAGGTTCATCAAGCTTTCTCTATGATCTTCTAGTGTCCTCTCGTACCACAGGAGTCTGACCTCGAACCTCTCCTACAAAATGACCATTGGCGGTCATCCCGAGCACTGCCAGGAGTCCGTGCAGCCGTCCCGGACAACACCCACCATTCTTGTCACACGCCGTCCGCTCAGCTCAAAGGAGTCTCGTCCTCCATCTTGGGCCGGGCTCGGTCGGCTCGGGCTTTCCACCGGTCGGCTCTCAAAACTGCTACATGTTGCCGTAGCGAGGTGCGCGGTGGGATTTCTTCACCCCATCGATGATCATCTTGTCGATGCGGCTGGGGCAGCAAGCGTACAAGGAATGGAGCCAGGCATGCCTCACAAACGCACAAACGCGCCAACAAAGGTGCTTCGTGGCCTCACAGACTTTCTTTAGGGGAGCTTCTACCCATTAAGAAACTGCTTAAAATATCTTACGCAAAATCAAAGCAAACAGTCAGTATGCCCTTGAAAAGGCACATTTTCGAGAAGAAACCGATCCGCACCCCTTCACAAATGGCGTCCAAGATCAGCTGTGCCGCCAAGGTGGGTGAGGCGGCGGTCTTCTCATCAAACTGGGCCGTGGCCTCGTTGCCAAATTTTAATCGATTTGTGTTCAACCCCGTGGCGACCTCAGGGCAAGCATGTGTCGCATGAACAGCTATTTTCACACGTGCTGTTGGCGCCTGCCAAGCTTCACCCTAAAGCACGGAGGCATTCAGAGATGCCTCCGTCATGTTTGAACATGATTGAACATACTGGAACGTTTAGTTTCTCCTTATGTTACTTTTTGTTCAAAGGAAACAAACACCCCGAAAAAACCATCTCCGTCCACCTCGGGAGGGCAGGACACCACCACTTTGGGTGCGTTCTCGCCGTAGGCTTCCTCCAGTTCGGTGCGCAGGGAGGCGCAAAAGCCATTCACGGCCCATTTGGATGCGCAGTAAAGGGTCCGAAAGGGGACGCCAATCGCTCCAGCAATCGATGAAATCACGACGATGCGAGATCCACGGACTTTAGGGATGAAAGGAAATGCGTAATGCAGAACATTGGCCACGCCCATCACATTCAGGGACAACATGAAGTCGCCATCCGCCAAATCCTTAATGTCTTCAAAATAGCATCCCATGCTCATTCCTGCATTGAGGATCAGGATGTCGATCTCTTTGAACTCGCTCACCTCATGTGCTCTCCCAGACGAAGGGGGCGACGTGACCGACTGGCCCCACGGTGCCTGGTCAGTGTGAGAGTCTACCCCACCAAGAGGCCCAAAAAAAGCGCTCTGAACACCAAGCACTCTGAACACCAAGCACTCGTGCTGGTGGCTCATTCGATGTTTCGTTCCCATGATGATGCAAACGCGGCACAACCGTTTGGATGGCCGCTTGGCAGGAGGGCCGCTGCGTCACATCGCACTGCACCGCCATCGCCTGGCTTCCAGCACCACACCTGGCAAAAAGCACTGGCCAGCAGGTGACTACCCAAGTCACCATCCACTTCCAGGAAAAGAAAACATCTGACCAGTAGTCAGCTCAGCTCAGTTCCAAGTCATTCGGGCAGCCCATTGGTCGAAAATAATGAACCCACACCACGCCCATCCACTCCCTCTCTTTCAGAGATGCATGGGAATCTGGAGTGAGTGTTCCGCCCCCGCACCCAGCCGCCAAGGCACTCCTGCGCCAGTTCCTCCAAGAGCGGCTTCCGCCGCGCCAACAGCGCGAGCCGCGCGCCCTTGCGCGCCATGAGAAGTGCCAGCTCGCGGCCGATGCCCGCGCTGGCGCCAGTGATCACCACCTGAAGGCAGACTGTGAAAAAAGGGGAGAATGCAGTAGGGGAGAGGGTTCCGGTGACTCCGGCGCGGAGGCTGAAAGATGGCTGTGGCCCAACTGAATGTGGGAGCGATGCCGAGCCGCTGTCTTCCCTGCAACATCCAAGGCCATGGCAGTCTCTTGGAATCGCCCCCGAACGGGTCGTGTTCGAGCCGCGAGAACGGGCTGCGGGAGTGAATTGGGGGCGGATCGGCGGCGACGAGGAAGTGATTGGACCAAAGTGCTTGAGATAGATTTCGCTTCAGTCTCGACCAAGAAAAGCCAGGTGGGCCACAGGCGTCGCTTTGCCAGGCTTCACCTCAGGGAGCTCCGACGTCATCCCGGGAGAGGCGGTGTTTGTGCTCGACGTCCACACCCTTCCACCCTGGAAGTGCAAGACTATAAACATGGTCTGACTAGGTGGCCCGAGTTCAGGAATGTCCCTTACCTGGGTGGTGGCCAAGCTATAGGGTCCATGTTGCAACCGGTCCAGGCATGCCCTCACCATAGGCTCCCGGCCCGGGCACGCCGGTGCGCACCGCCACGGGGGCCTGCGGTTTCAAAGAGGGGAAGTCTTTAGGAAGGTCAGGTGGGTGAACAGACTCACTCACCAGGACCACAGTCGTTCTCCTTCGCCAGTTGGAATACTAAAAATAGCATCACTTACTATCACTTTCAAGGTGGAAGCCATAGACTAGAAGCTGCCAGAAGGCCACAAAAAAAGATTATCCGAAAACTGCCTGGAAGAAACAACACCTGCTTGGGCCAACACTCACCACGTGCTTTGCTTTTCGAGAGAGTGAAATCACTTTTGAGAACCCCCCTCTGGCGCCTTGAGGCACCCCTGCTGGGACATCGTGCATGCGCCTCACTGGCACAGCCAAGTCCGTTCAACATCGTTGAGTAACTAGATTCTATGTGGATTCGAGATAAAGTTCAACACCCCACATGTGAGTTTGACACTGTCTTGGGCACCTGGGCAATCAGAAAAGCATTATACAGTTATACAGTTATACATATATATATATATATAAATTCTATAAATAAATATATAAATAGACTTTTATTGTCAAGCCATGTCAAGCCTGCGCTACCTGCCACCTTCGCAAGTTGTGCGCAGGTCGCACACAGCGGCGGGCAGCTCCGACCCCCTTCCCCGACGCCAGCCGGCGCTGATCCAAAAAGGAGCGGCAACGAGGAAGAAAATCGTAGTGAGAGTGACACTAATTATGCTTCTTCGCCCCACCAGCAGGGAAAGAATCACAACACGCAGCTCGCTCTCTCTCTCTCTCTCTCCCTCTAGAGCCGCCAGGCAACTGCCAAACCGCCTCACTCGAGCCCTCATCTCTAAATTTGTGCCTCCTAATTTATGCTGGAAACGCAACATGTGGAAACATGCCGGTTGACATGTAGATCATGTAGAAAATGTGAAACCAAAACCTTCAAGCACCTTCAAGCCATGCGCCGCAGCTTTCTTCTTCTCAGGGCTGCTTCATAGTCACCTTCAACCTGAGAGATGGCGCCCAAAATGTACGCGTACCACGTGCCCCCAAGTGTCCGATGAGAACTGGTCCCCAAGTGTCGTCCTCCTCCAAGCCGAAGCCCACACCCAAACCACTGGGATTCCCCGACTCACCTCTGCTGTTGAGCCTGGGCTTCGAATCCACTGCATCACTGGATTTGAAGTCTCAATCACAATATCTCACTGGCCTGACCACAACGAAAAACCTTTGCTTGATTCAGTGCGCTGGGGTGCCCTCACGACAGTTTGCGCACTTTAATGCGTCCGCCGCGGATCGCCTTGCCAATGACTCTGCCCAATGCACCCGGCACGCCATGTTTTTCCCCATGTTTCGGCGTTCGGCGAGCCACGTCAAAAAAGCACAGCTCGAAAACCGATCGAAAAGCGGCTGGAAATCAACCTGCAAAAACAGTGCCTTCTCAGGGTCCTGGGCGAAATCGGCCGCAAACTCCTTCTTGTGAAGCCTCAGGTGGGGCCAGGAGAGGCTCCCTTCAGCATCAGGCGATCGTGCGGACCCTCCGTGACAGCATCCGGTGGGCACAATCCCCCGAGCATTTCCAGTAGGGAACCTACCTACTGCGAACAGCACCTGCCCGCCCTGCCCGCTGGTGCTCAGCTTGGAAGCAATCCAACGACAGGCGTCTTGTCACCTCAGAGCCCGCACATCCGGAGAGAAATGCAGAAAACAAACAAAACCTCGCCACCTAAACCGTTTCGAGCCCGACTTTCCCTCGAGGCGGAGGACCGCTGAACATCTGGAGTTCCCCCGCCCCACGACGGGTAGACGTTCACGAAGGCGCCAAAGGTCACCAGGCTCAGGACCTCCGGGGTGCAAAACACACCTGGCTCATCCTGTGATGCCCAGGTGTGGTCCACCACTAGAGGGAATGGATCAGCCCACTGCTGGTAAAGCCTTGAGCATTGGCCTTGATTCGCAACAACAATCCCCGCAGTATTCGCATGGATTTACGGTAATTTCATGGCAAAGCCATGAATGGCGCACCTCCATGTTAGGCTTCTGGAGGGCAAGGGGATGAGGAGAACGCATGGCCCTCTGAATCAATACAAGGCCATCCCTCACCCTGCAAGTGTATAGGCGGTAGGTATGTCTCTATTCCATGATCAAAAGCCCAGTGCTTCATTATCGACTATCGCCATCACGCCCTTCTGCTGTTCATAGTTCATAGCCTGTCTCCCATATTTTGTTCTCACGCGCGCAGGTCAAGGAAGTCCTGAAGCTTCCTGACGTCGGCATGCTCCACCAGACGCGAACTCGGCGACGGCTGCCAGCACACGCTCATCCCGTCGGAGCGATGGCTTCAGAAGTTCCAAGACATTCCCATGCTTGGAAATCATGTGGAGCGCCGCCTGGGTGCCAGCGAACATGAGGCTTGCCGGATCGGACGCAAAGGCGGCTTCCACCACCTCGGCATCCTCGTGAAAGTCCTCCAGCGGACCGCCCCACGCGCCCGGTGCAAACCAGAAGGGGACCGCACCGGAGGACCCAAGACAAGATAGACAAGGACGAAGCAAGCAGGGATGGAAAACGGCATCCCCTCTTTTCAAGGGCAGATCAGCTCCGCAGTGGCTTTGTTAGGGGGACCGCTACGAAAAAGAAAAAAAGAACCTGCGCTTAACTTCAGCACCCGAGGTTCCCATTGAGCATGCTTGAGCGCAGAAGGCCTTTCACTCACCAGCTTGCACACCAGGTCTTTGGAGCTCACAAACTTCAGAGCACGCTCATCCGACTCGAGCGCCTCACGCACCATCTGTACATCCTCTCGGAGGACCTCCGAGGCGAAGCGCAAGGCGAGGCCGTTTTGTCTCACCGCGGCGCGGACCACGTCGGCGTCCTGAGCGTAGCGGTTCGGGGGACGGTTCACAAACTCCAAGGCTAAGCCATCCTGCTCCATCGCCCCGAGCACGGTCTCTTTGTCCAGGCGAGCTGTTGAATAGCGTATCAATGAAGCACAGCGCTGTACATGGTGCTTCATGAAGTCCTCATCACGTCTGAGCAACAAATGGACAGCGGATAGCAGGGCCATCGCTGCCCGAGCTCAACAAAAGCGTTGAAACGCAATGGTGCATTTTAAACTCTAAAAAAATGAGGAGAAAAAAGGAGCAAAACACCAAAGAGTCGAAAAGCGCAACCTCGGCAGGTCCTTGTTTTTCAGCAGCTCCTCGTGGACGAATCGCATCATGTCAGGATCAAAATGCACCTGGTTTGCCAAAAGGGATCCCGTAAATATGTAAGCATGGACAATGGATGACAACGAAGGCGAGTATGGTAGCGACAAAGAAAGAAGAAACAAGCGCACGCACACGCGCACACAAAACACATTCTTCCGCCACAAACCATCAGCTTAGTTTACACGTCACTAGAAGCTGATAAGTACAGAATGGTTTACGGGGTCGACTGGTCAACAAAGTGGGCGTATCTGACGAAACCAAAACCCTTCCATTCTCCGGTCTGGCCACTGCCCAGGTGGCAAATGTTTGATCTTTGCGTAGTATCTTTCCAGCACGGCAAAAGGCTCGAGGGTCCTTGGCCATCGCCAGCCTGAGGATCTCCGGATCCTTCTGCAAACTGCGGCTGGCATATTGCAAGGCCTCACCCCACTGCATCACAGCCACTGTCACCACCTCACGATCGTTCTTCCTCGGATCGCCCATGTCGGCAGGGCCAGGTTGCCAGGTCGGCGGTGTCACCATGAAACGATGCGAGAGCGCTAACGAGCGGGAACGCAGTGCTCAAGATGGCTCAAGTGTTGGCCTACTTCTACCCAACTGACCCTAGGCCCTAGCCGCAGCCCTCCTGCTGCGAGGCGATCTTCTTCGTAGAAACAGCGACATGAATACAGGATCGAAAGGATGCAACAGAAAAGGTCAAGGTTCGATTTAGAGATCTCCAGTTCCGGTGCTAGTGTCTTTCACCAGCGTCCGGGTCCAAGCACCCCCCCTCCAACACATGACTGTCTGGCAGTGTCTGGCGGGAAATGGATTTGATTTACTCAAAGCCCGCCCTCCCTGCGTGTCCAATGGTGCAAACCCAGAAAAGGCTCCAAAATGCCCAGATGTTTATTGCATTGTGTTTGGCACACCCATCTGTCCATCCCTTTTCATCGGCTCGCTTCCAGTGTCTTCACACCGAAGCGGCAAATCCTCTGAAGCGAAGGCCAAAGAGTCAGCGGAACCCCGCACCATGGCGAGCATCTTCTCGCGATCCACGATGGGCTCTCGGTGCCGGTGATCACAGTGGAGCCTCAGCTGCGAAAGGGACCGGAGGACTTCACTACTTCCCCTGGGCATTCTATCTATTTGGGAATCATTATATTAAATCTATTTGGATATTTAGTAATATTTGGGAAGTAAGTATTTGGGAAAGACATACTTCCTTGCACTTTCCGGTCTTCTTACAGTATGTCTTCTTCACATCTTGCAGACCAAAGGCTGAAGGCTGGTTTTGCTTGCGCGGGACCATTGAGCCAAGGGCTAATCTAAAGGCCGCAAGAAAGCGGGCCGTTAGGGTCGCTAGGGCCGTTAGGGTAGAGTAAGTACTGGTAGTAGTACGTAAAAAAAGATGTATCATGTAACCATTGCAAATTGATTGATTCGGGTGACCGTCATACAAGATTATACAAGGATGTCTGCGACTGACGGGAGGGGGCCCAAGCCTTCCCAGTGCCTGCCCGGTCTCCAAATCATGAGATCACAGATCCAAAGACAACGTTGCTCCTCGCACCTATCGCCCCGTTCCGGAGTCCGTTGTTTCGAAGTCTGGGTCTTGCAAATGGGCCCCACCGGCATCCCATGCTACCCGCCATATCCCGCGAGAAACTCGCTGCTTACTCGTATTGAGCCCAGAGACAGGAGGATGTCCACGGTCTCGTCTTGAGTGATGTCTGACCACCTTCCAGGGCAGCACACCGCAGCAGACCGCATCGTTCGATTCATCTGTCAGAGGTCTGGCTTTCTGTCACGACCCAAACTCGCGCAGCCAACAGATCGACTGTAGGGACTTCTGACTGAGTGTCTAGACGAAGGGCCATGACCAATCGACAAAACCAAATAATGTGGAACAGGCGGGACTCTTGAGCAGTAATTGCTCGCGCCTTCCAATGGCTCTGTTGCTTGCCCCCTTGTTCAACACCAAATGCATCTTATATAAGCATGGCATGGATGAAGCACAATGTGGATTCCGGATTGGACACCCAGTTCTCAACTGGCTCAATTCCATCCTACTATATAGCCTCAAAAAACTCGTTCCACTGTGACGCTTGCCTCGCATGTTCCTCCAGGCTTTCTCCGTTGCACAGAAGCCGCTGGCGGCGCCAGTGAATCTGGAGTTCCTCTGTCAGACGGGCCATGACAACTAAGACAGCCCATTCTCTTCAAAAGTTCCCGAGTTCTTTTTCAACTGAGCAGGCGTTCAATTCATCACAATCGACAAGGTAGGTGTAATTTCCATAATTAATATGTATATATATATATACATAAGTTCCATAAGTAAGTAATTGTTTACAGTAGTTAGTCTATTGACACGTTAGGTGGCATGCAATTTGGCTTGAGTCCGCTTCTTCTAGTCCTTCTTGATGGTCACCATGAGGTCAAAGACCACCGAGTTTCTCTCCACTTTTAGATCCAACAGCTCCGTTGTTGCCGCAAGGCCTTTGAATACCTTGACCTTGAGAAAGTTCTCCATGCCGGCACGTGCCACGAACACGTTGCCTGATGTCTGGCAGCCTTTGAACCCAATCCTGCATGTCCCATCTGAATGCATTGATCTGCGGCTAAAGCCAGGTCCACTTGCTTTATATAAATCAATCAGATTCATATCATACCATACGGATTGCGAGGCCTCCTCCCTCTAAGGCCTTCTTCACCCCACGAGCATCACCTCCCCCAATCAAAGAGAGGGCCTCGGCATCGAGCCATTCAGACTGTGCCACCTGGCGAGTGGGGTGGACTGGGAGTTCACCCCACTCCGAGCCCAGCCAGCTCGGCCAACCGCTCGGTGGTTTCGGATCACGATCAGTCTGAGGTCTGTATTTAGCCTCAGGTGATAGCTACCGTCTGAGTCCGACACACTCTTTGATTGACTCCTTTTTTCTTTTTCGCGCTTTCGTACCCTTTGCTAAAGGCTCAGCCGCTTAGAACTGGTTCGCTTGCTGTAATGGTTGGATGTACTACGTCACTGCAGTCCGACTTCCAAATGTGACAAAAGCTGGCAAAAACCACTGGTTCGGCCACTTGACGCACCGGAACTTGGCCTCCCATCCCCATCCCCGCGGCCACCCTCTATTCCCGGGCACCCTCCGGAGCGGCTCCGGGTTGTGGTTCTCCTCCTCCAGCGTCAAGCGTCGAGGCCGCGCCAAGTCACCGGACCTCCAGAACCACTTGGCACGAGCGCGCGCGTGCGAAGGACCCATCGAGGTGAGACCGGTGGGCCCCAGCTTGACATGTGGTCTGGATGGTGGTGATAAGGTTTGCCGCCGCCCTCCGAGGCCTTCGGGTGAGGTAGATCCGCTCCGCCTTCAGATCATACTCCAGCACTCGCGCCTCCACCTCCCAAACCAAACTAGTGAATGTCCATCTCCAATGGAAATAGAGGTGTGCTGTTGTGGTACGGGACGGGACCTGCGTTGGTTTGAATATGCAAACGGGCGAGATCGCCCTTGGACCTCTTCCTTCGACCGGCCGGGCCCGGCCTTTTGACCCTTTCGCACTGGCGTCAATTTTGCAGGGAATCCATCCTGCCAATCAATGGCCAACTGGCAGTCAACCAACTCTCTCTCTCTCTCCCTCTCTCGATCGAATGTGTTGTGGCCCAGTGGCTTATAATTGTGCACTTCCCCCCGCCATATGCCTTTCATGCGTTTTCCTTTCCTTCTACCTTGTCGTTGCGATTGTATTGATGTGTTATCATTCCTGCTCTCCTCTTCCTTTGCTTCCCCCTGCCCATGACACAAACACACCGAGTCCCACCACCCTGGAATATTGAAAACAGAGTTTCGACGTTTCGGAACGCCTTTTCTCCTTGAGCCAAAACACGTCAAGAGTCGCGTGTCTGCAGTACCCTAGCGGACTATATATGGGCTGTACATACAAACACTCCTCCTCTTGCAAAGCACCGTACTGCTGCGCAAGCTTAAAACGAAACATGTGAAACTCTTCGCTGCTTAGCCACTTTCAGTTGTGGTAGTGGAGCTTGGCCAGGGACCTTACTCCAAAACATCTAACTGTCCTTTGCTTCGCTTGCTGAAGAATGCATATTGCAGGTCCTCCATGGTTTTGCGAAGCTGCACCCCAGGAACCGACTTGGTCAACACATCGGCTTTGTTCTTGACACCTGGAACGTGGTGCACTTTCAAGTGGCCTTCGGCGACCCTTTCTTGCAACCATAGGTAGCGAGTTTGGATGTGTCTGGCTTTACCCAAACCCACTCGGTGAACAGTTCCTTTGGCTGCATTGGAATCGCCCTCGATGGTGACTCCTAAATCCAAACCAAGGTCTGCGCATAGGCTTTGGAGGCCTAAGCCCACAGATCCTCCGTAGTACTCACTTTCACCTGTAGAAAGGGCTACAGTGGATTGGATGTTACTGCTGTGTTTCAACACGTGCATGCCGTACATAGCAACCATGCCAGTCGTGCTTTTGCGCGTCACAGCGTCACCACCATGGTCGGCATCGACCTGCACCCTCAACCTTGAGGGTGTCTGTTGCGAGCCAAAACATTGCCCAACATCAGGATATTTCTTCAAGTACCTGATGAGACGCTTCAAGTCAGCAAGTTTGGCTTCTGTTGGTGATACCATACCTTGAGCAAGGTTCTTGACTGCGTGTCCAATATCGAGTCGATCTTGGGACAAATATGCAGCACGCATCGTAGCTGAACGATACTTCGATGCCTCGCTCTTATCAAGCAGCGGACTGCGGCTTTCCAGCATCTGCTGATCTGCCGACTTCTTGACATCTGGTGACACTACACCATTTGCCTTCTCCAGACCAAATGCCTGGATCAAAAGATCAACATGTCTCCGATCGGCTTCGATCACAATTGATCCTTTGCCGTTCTTCTTTTCGACTCGGATTAACCGATTCAGAAAATGGGCTTCTGTTCGGTCTCCATCCTCGTCTCCAAGAATTCCGAGACATTTCAGCTCATAGGCATCTTTGAGGACTTGGCTGAGCTTCTCCAAGTGTTGGGCGTCTCCAAGCGCTAGGAAGTCATCTCCATGCACCATCACTCTGACGTCCCAAGCTTCTTGGTAGAAGACTGACGCATTTGACAAGCCTCTGCGGAAACCAGCCTTCTGCAGAGTCTCTGTGTAGTGCGTCTGCCAGATGTTTGGAGCGTCCTGTGTTCCATACATCGACTTCACGAGAAGTCCACAGGTTTGTCCATCTTTGCTGGCTTCGTCCTCAGGCGGCAGCTCTATGTAGATCTTTCTCTTCGGAGTTCCATAAAAGTGTGCTCGCGAGATATCCCACAAGCCCAGCTTCAGCGGCTGGTTGTGGCAGGACTTTCTCTTTGTTGCCCACAACGAGCACAGCAGTCTCATCGCCTCCAATGGGGGCGTGCTGCTGAAAAGCAAGTTGGCTGGCAATTGTTCTTCTTTGGTCTTTCTTGCCTTTATCTCACGCACAACTAATCGGCTCCTATAGTTCGGGTTTGTTGGATCTCCCTTGTTGGTGTCCAACCATCTGACTGGAATCGGGGGCTTCCCCGTTTCCTCAAAACATTCGGCTCTCGGCCGGGGCACATAAACACCATGCTTTTCTTTCAAATAATCCATCTCAAGGCGTCTTGCCTCTTTCACTTTCTCGGCTGGCAAAATGCCGCCGTTCACATCATCCATGTAAACTTCTTCGAACTCAGGGTCCATCAGAGGCATCTCTGGAACTGGGCCTGCTGCAAACAGATCAAAGGTGTTCAACTCACCTTTCTCGGCTAGTGTGTCACGCAGGCTCCTCAGCACTGCTTTCACGAGCTGCGGTGGGTATACCGCGGCCTGTCTAGCAATGCCTCCGATCAGATGGATGCGTCGGTGCCATGGTCCTTTGCCCGATTCATTCGAGCAGACTCCTTGCAAGAAGACTCGGGCCAACCCTTCATCGTTGGTCATCCAACCGGTCTCCTTTCTCACATAGCCGGTGCCTTGGAGTCCTCTTGGGTCAGTGGCCATCATTTGCCACCTGCACATTGGACCCTTTACTACGAACACTCCATCTTCTTTTGCTAAGGCCGCAACTTTCTCATCCTTCCAACTAGTTGCGGACCAAGGTGCCTCGTGGAGGAATTTTCTTCCTGAGCGATGCTGCTTGACATACAGCTCTACGCTCGTATGAAGATGGTGGACGGCTTCGTCCATTTTCTTCCTCCGGACATCCGGCGCCATGCTTCTCCAGCTGAGGTTCTGTAGCTGTGAGAACATATGGCACGGTGGCGAACCAGTCAAAAGCGCCGGTTCGTCCTTCTCAAGGATGTCGTGCACCCCTTGAACATCTTCGGACTTGTTCAAGTCCCAGTATGTTCCGTCACTTTTCATTTCATTCAAGTCGACCGCAAAACCCGGTCGCAACTTGTAGCGCTCTGCAAGCGCAGTGAACCTTTTGGGCGAGTAGATCTCCATGATATCTACTGCTGACATCTGCATGCTCAAATGAGCGATGTCTCCGATCTCTTGCTCAGTGATCTCGATGCCATTCGCCTCATAGGTTCCTTGAATGATCTTCTTCAGATGCTGCTTTGAGATCTCCTTCTCTTTTACCAAGCTGGCTGCATCTGGCTTCCACCCTGCTGGTGGTGTTTCTGGAACATGTGAAAACTGAGACGTTTTCTTTGGACTCTCTTCCACTCTGGGATCAAGGTCTTCTACGGCGGTCTCTGCCGTCCTCTTTGTTCCTTGGGCTGGATTCGGCTTGACCTTTGCCCCAGGTGGATCTATCCTAAGCTCTCCTGTTCTCTTCTTGGGCTCTGTTGCTACCTTGGCTGTTGCCACTGGCTTCTTCTCTATCTCAGCTGCTTGCCTCTTCATCTCATATCTCTCTTTCGGGTCATCGGGATAGGTTTTCTCACCCTCTGCCGCTGTTGGCGGCGGGTTTCCCGACCCTGCGCTCTTTGCTTCTTCTTTCTTCTCTGGTTCTCCGGCCGCGTCTTCGGCCGTGATGTCGGTGTCCTTGTCGGCCACGACTTTCGGCTTCACAGTGTCAAACTGTTGCCGTTCCTTTCTCTTCTTTGCATGGGCTTCAAATCTCGCTTGCCCAGCTTCATCTTTTTCCATTGCTTCGGTGATCCTTGCTCTGCACGCCTCTGTGTGCGGCAAGGTCGTCCTCTTGTCTTCCAAGATGCACCTGCATCCTGGGCAGCCTTCTGTGGCTCCATGCTTGTGCACATCCTCTCTCCTGATGTACACTCGCCTCTGCTGTGGTGGAGCCACTCGTTCCTCCTTGGGAGGTGGTACCACAAGGCGCTCTTCGAGCATCAACTGCTCACCGGCAGGCCTTGCCGCGGAGTGCTCCCACGGTAAGCCCCGCAAAAGGTCCCAATCGCTTGGATCCCAGCGGTCGGCTGAACTCAGCCGCCGGATTCCTGTGCCTCTTCGCACGCCATCGGCCGTCATCACCAAAATGGATCCTGTTCGGCCGTGGTGACCTACATAGCGTCCTTCTTTCAGGATGCGAACTCCCTCGCCTACTTCTCTAAAGTATAGGCGTTCACCAAAAGCTATGGCAGGTTTTCGCCATTGCTTTCCACAT